CAGGTCTTGATCTCAGGGTGGTGAGTTCAAGTCCCATGTTGTGCTTTGTGCTGGGTGTGAAGCCTACTTAAAAAATAAGAAAAAGGACAAGTCTAAATTTTATAGTATCAGGTTTTCCATCAAATTACGGTTTCCTTTTGTTTTTATTTTCTTACAAATTTTCCATTTTAGAGTCAGTTGTATTTTTGAATCATTTGAAGCCACCAAGAGCTCAAATGGCCTTTAAAACACTTGGCCAACAAGATGAAAATCTTTACTTTGAGACAGTGCATCTCCCTTTGTTCTTGAAATACTCTATTTCAATTGGAAATATTTCCTCCAATTGTATGTCTGTCTGTCTGTCTGTCTGGCTGTCTCTCTCTCTCTCTCTCTCTCTCTCTCTCTCTCTCTCTCTGATTTCTTTCTCTGGAATCCATAGTCATTTCCTCAAGAATCTTTGGAAGCACCTTTATGTCCTTTACTTGGGCCAGCCTGTGGACTGGAGTAATGCTGGTCCTGTGCCTGCATTTCAAGACATCAGAATAATGGCAACCATAAAGAGTTAGTGAGATTAGTAATTAACTGATCATTTTTTTCCTAATGAAGTAGGCTGGTCTGTTAACCAGGGGTAAAAATGCTTCTTTTGGTAAAACAAGATGGTTCCTCTTCATCCTTTTGTGATTGTGCACAGCTTTTTTTCAGAGCAGTATTTATATGTACTTCATATATCAGAAGAACCTATTTATGTCACCTAATTTTTACCTGAAAGCCGAAAGAGCAATTCCCAAAATGTGTCACAGTGCACATAGAATTTAAAATCTAAGTTTCTAATATATCCCCTTTATAAGGGTTGGGTGTTTTGTTTTGTTTTGGTTTTTTTGGTTTTTGGTTGTGGTTTTTTTGTTTTTGTTTTTGTTTTTTGTTTTTTTGGTTTTTTGGTTTTTTTGTTTGTTTGTTTGTTTGTTTGTTTTTTTGCCAGCACTTGAAGCCAGCTATTATCAGATCATACTGCATAACTCGTATTCATTGTTATCCCTAGGGTAGTGGTAATGCTAGTTTAGATTTTGTTTGTCCATTATTGCTGAGCACTTAGCTGGATAAGGGAATGAAGGATGGCAGGAGTTCTGTAAAATGATATGAACACAGAGGAAGCTGGGTTGCCTTCAACAACACACATTTTAAACTGTTTACTTGAGAGAAAGAACTGCGGTAGCACTGCATCCTTTATCTGATGCAGGGTCCTGGAAAGCGGCATTGTGCAAAGTGGAGAAGTGCTGTGAACTTGTGCCCTATTAAGTCCCCTTTCTGAGGCACGTTGCACTAATCTTTAATGTTCTTTGTGGACTGCTTTCTGGCAGTTTGGATCTGGATGGAAAGTGTCCTCCTTTCAGATATTTTTCAGTCAGAGTGCCCTGTGCTTGTCTGTCATTTGGGATTTTCATTTTATTTATGCTGTCGTTAAGCCCACCGTGAGTGAAGATACAGGCTTGATTTATGGCTTAGCATTCTGAAAACTTCCCATCATACTGAACCTCAGCTGTCAGTTACCAGAAATCAGGCAGCCATGGCAGTTAAAGCCATCTAATATGGTGGCTTTGGGGAGGTTGGGCAGTTTAAAAGATGTTTGGAGAGACCTAGGGAGTTTGGCTTTTTTTTTCTTCTGAGCAGAATAAAATAGATGCATCAGTTCTAACGAGGCACTTCCTGCCCAGAGTCACTGGCAGAGCAGTCTCCTCCCAACAGCTGCAAGCTTGAGAGACCTCATGCTGCTGGCCAAGGTTCATTCTGTGCTTTGACTAAGACCACAGCCAATAAAGCCAATGTGTACCGTGGAAAGACTTTCCCATTTTTTCCATTGGAGAAGGCTTTTGTGAGGTTAGTTTGACTGTTGCAAATTAACAGTGGTGGTCATTGCTCATTTTTTTAATTTTAACTGCATGTAAACCTACTGATTAGATTCCATTGAGAACAAATCATAGTTTTCTGTAAGATATGTACCCTTTTGTCCAGTATTCCTTCAACCCCTGGTTCTCAAAATGTGGTTCCCAAGCCAGCAGTGGCAATAGCACCTGAGAGCTGGTTAACTACAAATTCTCAGGTCAGGAATAGGTGTATTCCTCTCACTGGTTTCAAGAGTAGAACTAGTATTAGATTATGAAAAGGGTGTGAACTTCTTTAGGGCTGAGTTCTGATCCTGTTTTCTTTCCATCCTCCCAGGTTACTTGGAAGCAACCTGTTTTGGGACATTGGTTCTATGTTACCATTTCACATGCAGTTTTGTTTTGTCTATACCAGCAGCTCACAGCTATCCACGCTGTGTTTCAGAGTAACACTTCCAGACTCTGACATTGCCATCTTTAAAAAGATTTTGGTGTAATGACCACTGTTAAGTCTCATCCAGCTTTCCCTCACTGTCTACGACTGACATGTGGGATTTAATGTATCATTCCATCTCTCAGTCCTTGGAAGACTAACAATGGCCATATGTAATTTGTCTTGGCCTTTTATCTTACATGTTGTACCTCTCCCCCTATTATGTATGACTGATAATTTGAAATATTTGTTTGAATTTGAGTTGCTTCCCCTTCTCATTTGCTTAGGAATAGACTAAATTGAAATCTACACAGAATTCTCCCAATTGTAAAGTATATCAACTAAATCTTCTCAAGAACTTCTCAATTTCTGAGCAATTGATTTAAATATTACAGTATGTCTTACATTAAGGAAAGTTTTTCTGCAAGAGTGATTATTTATTGAGCAACTACAGTGGATAGGCCCCATATCAGAGTCTTTGCAAAGCCCCCACTCCAGCTAATTGCAGCAACTGAAATGTACAATTCTTACAATAAATAGCAATATCAAGTAAATTAAGCAAACAGCATAACCCTTTAAACTGTGTTTAAAATATCAATTAAGGGCACCTGGGTGGCTCAGTCAGTTGAGTGTCCAGCTCTTGATTTCTGCTCAGGTCATGATCTCACAGTCATGGGATCAAGCCCCATGTCGGGCTCTACTCTGGGAGTGGATACTGCTTGTGATTCTCTCTCTCCTTCTCCCTCTGCCCCTCCCCTGCTTGTGCACATACACTCTTTCTTTTTAAAAAACAATAAAAATGATAATACAATATCTTCAATTCTTTTATGGTTTAGACTTTTTACCAACTAATCATATAGATAATTAAAAAAAAAAGAAGCTTACATAAATATACAAATGCAGTTTATTATACCTTTTGTGATCTGTTTAGAAAAACTTTCCACTGTTGAACAGGGACTGTGCCTGTAACATATTTAACATTCATAAGTTATTCTGCATTGGTGGCCTTCCACCCAAGAAATTATTTCCATCAATTCAAATGTGTATCTATTTTTTTAAATTCATTCATGCAATGTGAACCTATTATATCTTGTTTCATTGGTCAGAAAAGTCTTCTGTATGTATTGCCAATCTTAACCTTGTAATTTTTAAGAATTTAAATATAATTCCTTTATTTGGTTCACTGATAAATTTGATTAGCTGGGTGTATATGTTTAAATATACAAATATTTCATAATTCCTAGTTACCAATTATAATAGTTACATAATACACCATTTGAAATTGATACAACTAAATTTACATACTCACCCAGACTTGCATATGCTAAACTTTCATTTCCCATCAACAATTTGCTATTTGTTTCCCTTCTCAGAAAAGAGAATGAAATTGAACTTTTTTAAGAAAGCAGGTGAAAAATTGTATGTATTTAGATCACATCAAATAATATAGGAAGACAGCCAAGACCCTTACATTATCCTTGATCTCTTTTGAGTGTAAACACTAAAGGTGAAGTATCAGTTTGGACACAGCCATACAACATCAAAATGATCCTTGTTTTCATATTTTGCTTTTGGGCCACGTTTACTTTCCACAAACAAGGATCTTGTGAATATGTGAAAATTTACCATTTGTTGGGCACTACATAAAGCTTAGATTCAAATTCTCAGAACCGTTACCGAAGATGGGCTGAGCTTCTCCTAGACAGATCTCATGGGAGAACAATCCAGTTCTGGAGCCACTGAGATCCAGATGTCCAACTGAACAGCTGCCATCCTCTGTCTGCAGTAACCTTGGGATCACTGACCATGTGTTATGCATTTCTTATCCTGACGCCCATGATTGAGGTCAGATGTTCTCTACCCTTAATTTTACCCTTTGGGACTCTATATTTCTCAGTGGGATGTACAGTCACAGACACTGGTACCACAGAGCAACTAGAGAAAAACTTTCCCATGCAGTGTTCATATAAGTAGATGTTCTGGCTAAATTTTCTTTACCTTTAAATATTTAGTGTCTATTTCTCTTCTCTGAGAGTGATTACAAGTGAACCGGAAACAACATAGGCATATAAAGGAGAGTAACTTAATTATCTTCCAGGGTCTGTAACCCCTGGGTTATATGTTGAGAGCATGGATGTGAAAGGAATCTTGTTTGGTCCTTCTACATGTGCAATCAACACATTTGAAACTTACCAGCTTTCCTAATGTGGTAACTGAAGCTTATCAGAGTAGCAACTACCTGAGTGAAATCTATGCTTATTTTGATACTGATCTCAACACAACTTTATACAAATGTTTGATCGATTTTACAAAAGCAACATTGTCTTTTACCAAACAGAGTAATTACTTACCTTTTGCTGGTAGCATCATGACAGCTAATTCCCACGTTACCCATAGCTTGCGTGAAGAGCCATTAGGTAATGTTTAGAATCCAGGTAGGATCTGGGAAGGTCAGACCAAAGTAAATTATCACCACTTTAATATTTGCAGTGCATTTTTCAAATTACCAGCCAAAGGTCTAATATCCAAAACAATGTGTGTAATTTGGAACCAAGATTCAGTTTTTAATTGTTATTTTGATATCATAGATTGAACATCTTCCCAATTCTTTAAATCAGTGTGAATCCAGAATCAATATCTTTGAAAGCTATATAAAAATTTGTCATATCAACCATTGGTACCTAGAAAGCATGTTTATTTGAGGTAGTATGTATAGATGCTATCAAAATAATTATATTTCTAAATGTAAGATGCTTCACTAGAGAAGAAGGCACTGTGTTTTACCTAGCAAGGGAGCTGACAAATTGTAAGTGTTTAAAATGCATTCAGTAACTTGACTAACCACCCCACACTCTCAATCATTTTTCTCTACAATAAGCAAAGGTGTTTATTAACATCTTGATAGCCAAATTTGCAATGTCTTTCAGCACTTAACAGACCATTTCCCTGATTGTATTCATGAAAATTCAATCACAGTGTTATTCTTGGAATTTCTGCCTAAGGGTTTAAACAATGCCTCAGTACTTTGAATGGCAAGGATATCACACTGATCAGATAACATCCCTATGTCACCAATATTAGTGACTAATTTCCTACACATGAAGTGTGCTGATTTTCCCATACCGGATATCAGTAAAATATCTGTGTTATCATGGCATACACCATCTCCCTTGTGTTTGTGTAAGTGTGCTTTGAGGCCTGAGTATGTGTTGGCCATCATATTTGTGGATTTTTATAGAGATTCCTGTCATCACCACGTGTTTCACCAAGACTTTTCCACCAGATGGTTTATATGGAACAAAATCCCTGCGATTGCAGTGTTGGTCCCTTAAATCCCAAATTGATTTTGCAACGTAGTATTTTATTAACATCAATTGCTCCATCATTGTTGACTTCAATATTATCTTCCGGAAGCTGTGCTTCACCCGCTATACGATAGAGCAAGTAAATTTTTGCTGGGCCTTCTAGGCCTTACAATATCCAGCCAACTTGTGGCTTCTTGTGGTTTTGTTGCCTATTCGGTCCCAAAAGCATTCCTTTATTTCTGGACATTTGGCTTGAGAAATTTGCTTAGTTCGTATGCCAATTTCTTGTCAGTTGGCAATTTATTTGCTGACTTGGGCTAAGTATCTGCTATAAAATCACTTAGAATTGTGTACTTCCATCCTTCTTTGTCTTTACTTTTAGTACTTCCCTCCTTTGCACACTGCCATTGCCATCCTTGCTCCCAAAATGATGTTTGGCACATTTGGAAGTTTAGGTAGAAAAGTTTGCGATTCCCCAGGTCTGGTATCTTCGGCTGTTTTGTGATGTTTGTAATAACGCAATGTTTCTGAGGCAGCGGATACTGTGCTTTTCACATTATAACTGTCTTCTATAACTCACATTAACAAGACTTCCCAAGGTCCATGATATGGCTTTGTCCTATGACATAGCTAGATGGTCCAGTTTTTTTTTTTTAGTATAGGTCCATCATGCTGCCTCACACTTGGCAGTCTGATAAGAGAGAGTGCTATTAACGATGAACTTCTGGTATTCACTGTGAAAGAAATTGTAAGCCTTTGGACTTCGCATTACTGATGGTACAACTAAGAAAGTGCATACCGGATAGGGGCACTTGTACCCCAATGTTCATAGCAGCACTCTCAA